GCAAATTGGTCAAGCAATGGCCATGACTCATCCATATGGCTCACACTGACAAAGGATCTACAAACAGAGGTACAGGGTTTCAGGATAAATCCTGAAGGGATTTGACTGCCCTTATCAGATATAAAAGTTACATTTCTTGTTATATAGGTCTTTTTTATCTTGGTCTTAACCATCCAGCAGAAAAGTATAAAAACAAACTATAAAAAGTAAAATCATAGTAACATGCTGAGCTGTAAAACGCTTAAGTTAATAACTTCGGACACTGCCAGTCTTACAGAAAACCCACTACTATTATGAACTACTGGACTATATTGGAATATTTTGCTGAATTCATGCATCTACACTATTTAAATGACAATGGAATACCCACCTCTGACAAAACTAAACAAAAAAGCTGATACAAATGAAGGCCCATTTTGTATCTATATATTCAAAAGAGTTAGGATAGACATACAGCTACTTTCTCTTAATTCAGTGAATAGAAAAATTTGTTCTAATAGTGTTTATGGACAGGATATCATGTCTGCATCTTGTACAATGAATAACCACTAAGACAACAATATGCAATGTATTAATTATTGAAACTGTCCTATTAATCAGTTATGAAACTGTCTCATTGCTATTTGTTTCTCAATAAAATTGTTTTTATAAAAGAAATGCAATGAGACAGTTTCAAAACAGGTTAGTAGGACAATTACAATAATTAATACATTGCACATTACCCTACATAAATTCTTATTTCATCATGGGGAAAAATATGTTTATTATATGAGAGAATAATAAATTAGACTACTATATCTGTCTTTTTTCCCTTTTCCAGTAATATCATATTATAATACAATCTGCAAACTTCACTCCAATTAACTAAAAAAGAGTTATTCAATAAAAGTTAACATTAAAAGCAAAGCAAAGTGGATGCTTTCTAATAACCTGTCCTACTAAAATATTTATGTCAAATTTACTCCAGTAAAGTCAGTGGTCAATGTTTAAACTCTTGCACAGATTTTTGTCTTAAAGAAGAGAACTAGAGAATTTGCTTCAGAGAGACAATTTATGATATTTTTTATTTTAATATGTAAACCCTATAAGCAACACGAGAGCAGAACTTCATGCATTTCAAAGCCTTAAGAATGAGTTCTTTTGAACCAGATTTATCCCAGCATAAAATATTTGTTTTTTATTCATCTTTAAAATCATGGTAGGGGCCTGCCCATTAGCTCCGTTGTTTAAGTGCCTGCTTAAACAAAGTCAGTCAGGCTCCAGATACTGTGATTCAATCCCCTGATCCTCATGCCTTACAAGACCTACCCTTAAGACATCCCGAGCCAGCCAAAAAACAAAAATCCTTCTGAACTTTTTGGGCTGGGGAAATAGGTCAGCAGAATAAGTGTTTGCCTGGCAAGTGCAAGGGCCTGAGTTCAATCCCCAGTTCCAGAAAAAAAAAAAGAAAGATGTACTTCCAAGCCTTTTGGTACAGAAGATAGATAATAAACATACACAGTGTGATTAAAATATATAGTGAATATGTAATTTTTTAAATTATTATAGTAAAAGACATACTGCAATTAATCTTCCTCAAATTATTTCCCCTCACTTCAAACACAGATATTCCATTATCCTTTTCACTTTCTGAGGCAGTTTTAGAAGTTATCTTCCATGTCTTTATGAAGTGTGATAAAAAATGTTGTGAATGTTGCTTCCAAGTGCCATCCAACAGAAAAGCAGGCTCATAAATACATTATAAACTGGGCATGGTGTTACATGCCTGTAATCTCAGCACTTGGGAGGTTGAGACAAGAGGGTTGCTGTGTTCAAGACCAGCCTGGAGGCTACAAAAGTGAGTATAGGGTCAGCCCAAACCCCATAGCGAGACCCTGTCTCAAAATAACATAAAATAAAATAAAAACATTACAGCGTGTTCTCATCCAAAACATTCACTGGATCTGGCCCTGTGAAACTTCTAATTCTTCACCAAAGTCAAAGTGAGCATGAATGGTAAATATATTGAATAGGTTCAGGACATCAATGCAGCCATGGCAATACAACTTAAGATACTCAAGAAAGAGGACTTTCAGGCCTGCTTCAGAAAATGGAAAGAACAATGGGATTAAGTGTGTTTCAAGTGAGAGGGAGCATTTTGAGGGTGATTAATAGCATTGTCTTTTACTCTAATAATTTAAAAATTAATCATCTTTTTTTCACCAATTATATTTGAAGTTTACAAAGATGAAAGTCACCTCCAAGTCATCTTCATCTTATCCACCAGCATTTTCATAATACGTAAGCAGGAACTTGTCATTGTCTTTCCTCACTAAACTCTCAATGTTTCCCAGCTCCCTCCAAGTAAAACTCAAATTTTTTAATACCACTTTGTAGCTTCTCTGTAGTCTCCTCTTTGTAGCAGTGGCTTGCAAACTGTTGTCAGCAGTAGCAGCTGAGAATGTGCTAGAAATGCAAATTCCTGGGGTCCTCCCCCAGAATCAGACACTCTGGTGGCAGGGCCTGCAATCATGCTTTAACAAGCCCAACAGGAAATTCTGATGCAAACAGAAAGCTGCAAATCTCTAGCTTAGTCATGGTTTTCTTTTCCGGTTTCATACTCCTGTAATGTTCCATATATCAGACACTTCAACAAGCCTTCTACCTTTCTTTAAAAAAATACCAGGGCAATGTTTGTCTCTCCCTCTCCACACTGCTTCCTCCTGAAGTTCCATTTCTTCCAAGACCATTTTGAAGGTTACCCCCTTTGTAAAGAGAGCCTTGAGCCCTCTCTTCCTGTCCACATGTCTTCCACACCTCTTTGTGTAATTCATCATCCTCTCCCCATCAGTCTGTGAACTCCTGGAAGGAGGATGGTCTTTGCATCTTGTACAACCCACACTTGTGCCTTATAAAAAAAGGATGTCAACAAATGTTTGTCACAGTGAAACGTAGTCATTGCAGACTGCAGATCATGTTCACATGCAAGTTAGCACAAACTATGTGTTTATGAAGCAGTGTCTGACTTCAGTATGGCTCTTCTGGGTCCCCAAAACCCACTTCATAGAGCAAACCTTGCTGCCACTTGTTCTACCATCTGGTACAGTGTTCCTCCCCCATGCCCACAGGATGGAGGCACTTTTAACAGTTGCAGTGGCCTTTTGCTCCAATATCTTTTCCTTCTGTTCTGCAAAAAATGCTCTAGTCTGGGTCTCATGTCTACAAAAGCTGGCATTTGCCGCCCTAACCACATCATATTCTCACACCAACCACTTTCCCCTTCTTTACTTTCACATTTTTCTTTATTGCCCTTGCTTCCCCCAGTGACTTCACGAGGCCTCATAGCTTTGCAGTGAATAGGAAGGCACGTGAGTGACAGCGTAAATCGGGCAAAACTATACAGTTGTTAAATGCTGACCTCAGGTTTAGCTAGTTTTGTCAGTGTCCTTCACTCCTTTTGTTCCACAGAAAGTGGGACTTTACCAAGTTAGTTCAATTTCATTATTTAACAAGAGAAGATACTATAGCTGGGAGGTGTTGAGTGGTATGGTTCATGTTCTTTCTCATCACAAACTATTTTCTTTCTAATTTTAAGTCTGTAGTCCTTTTGAAGGTTAAGGGTTATAAATATCTACCAGAAAACGAGCAGGCACTCTGAATAGTTACAGTCCCTTGGGTAGTAGAGATGAAATAGATATGCAATATTTTAGGGAAGAATGTCCACATTTCATTAGTTTGGTTTGCAAATCAACACTAAGGTTAACATGTACATCTGTCTACAAAACAACCAGAAGATTAAATGTCTTTTTCTGAACTTTATCAATTATTTTTGTCATATTGTCATTGCTTGCCACATAAAACTCATTTTCTCTACATTTATACTTTTTTTTTTACCTGAAAACATCATCATGTGTTGAAAATTCCAGCCAATCTTATGCCTTCGGCCCAAGTTGAGGAAAAAGGAAAGTGGGTAGATATGCGCAGCTCTGCCCAGGAAGATGGCAACCTGATGACCAGGAGGAGGTTAAGGGCCCAACAGTTTTACAGTATAGCACTTGCACACAAATTCTGGTAAAGCAGACAATTTTAGGGGCATCGTGAACTCGACAACTGTCCAAATAAACCAGGCTGTCTAGTTTCTCAGTCTAAACCACTCTCTTAGCAACAAACAGGTGTCATTTGGCTAACTTTCCCCACTTCCTGGTTCAAAAAAGTAATTTCTAATTTGTTAAAAACACTGCTGTAATTTTCTGAATCCATAGTGACCAATTTCTAAATCTATCCAAAAAGGAGTCAAGAAATTTGCTCAAGTATCATGGTAGAAGTGGAGAATTGAAAGAAACAGTACGTTGGGCTCTCCTGGAAGAAAAATCACAAGAAAAAATTTTTAAAAAAAGAAAAATCATTAGAGAGAAAAATTCCTGACCTCAGAGATAAATCATAAAGTTGACTGGTTAAGAGCATGTAAGCTTTATCTGCAACTAGACATGGGGTTCCAATGTCCAGGCAGAGCCTAAAAATAAGATGTGGGGAAATTTGCAGTATTTATCTAACAAAAGACCTTCCAGATCATTTAACTATATCAATGCAGGGTAACTGCTTTACCTAAATGGCTAAAATGTCTTTTGGAGATACAAAGGGTGGAAGAGTGTGGCAAGTAAAGAAATCAAGGAAACTGGTCATCTGTTGCTTGCCAAATTTAGATTCCACCCAGCAGAGAAAGCTAATCACTTCCCTAGTCAGAGAAAGAAACCCCCGTGGGAGCTAAAGGAACAGGGAGCTTCCGTTTTGGCAAAACACCAACTGCAGAAGCTGCAGCTGTTTGGTATAGGGGGGAGGGGGCTGCATGACTCTTCTGCTTCCTCCAGAGTAAAGTAGTCACTGTTTTGCTTATTTCTTTCTTTCCTTTTCTAATTTGTTTTTACCATATGGAAGCGTGCAGTGCTTATCACATATATTCTATTCCAGAGGTGAAGGAAAGTCCGTAAGTGGCCAGTAGCCTGTACGATTCCTAAGAGTGTCCAGCCCTTTGACAGGTCGTCATCTACACACAAGGGCTGCGCACTCAATATCCTTCACAGGATGCCATGCTGGGAATATAAACCAGAACAAAGTGCCAGGTCTCTCTGAATAAAGAAGAAAACCACAAACCCTGTACATTTTGAGCTGTCCAAAATAACAGCATGTGAGTCCAAGAAATAAGCCACCAGTGTAAGCATATGACACACTAATTAGAAGCATTCTAGTGCCATCACTATCTAGCAGCTTGGGGAGTGCCAATCATTCTTGCACACAAGAAACAAAAATCACAGAAGTAAAAAAAACACACTTTTTTGCCAATATTGAAGGGCTAAGGATTGCCAGGAGGCCTCAGGAAAAAAAAAAAAAGGAAAGCAAACATTCAGTACAGGACTTCTGCTCAGGAACTTGAACACAGCCCCCCAAAAGCACACCTCAATGAAAACAACAGTATCTGCAGCCAAATGAGTGAAACACCCAGCTGCAATTCAGTGCTAGGCACTCACATCCCTCCTCACTCAAGAGGAGATACCTCCCCCAAAAAATCATGTCTCCCTTCTATAAACTGCATTTACAATGGGACCAGGTCAAGAAACCAAGTATTTTTCAATTTTGTCTTTTCTTCTATTTCCTCCCCTTCTTTAAAAAAAGAAAACAAAAGGATTATTTCCCACAGTGATCCATAGCAGCAGGATAGCTCAGGTGAAAGCATGGTCACTACCTGTGGGCACCCCTGGGTGGCATGAGGAAGGGCTGCCCATACTAGGTATGCGGTTGGAAGCAAGAGCAATGGAGTCTTCTAGTTGTCTAAATCAGAGAGTCTCCTGGATTAGAATTTACATGGCAACCAAATGTCAAAAATAATCCTGAGAATCGACATGGTCGCCAACTGTTAGCTTTATCCAGAAGAGAACTCTACAAAATAAACAATCACCTCTGAAGCACCAGCTCAAAGGAAAGGGCAACTTACACAGAAAGTACAGGAAGGATCACCTGAGAATAAATGCCAGTCCTTTAACCAAATACATTTCGTTTTGCGAAATACCACTTAAACTTTTTTTCCTTATAAAAATACCATAAGCCATCATGTCCTCATCACCCATGCAGAACAAAAGTAACAATAAAATAATGGGAGCCTTCCTAGCAGTAGTGACCTCCCTATGTAGAAAATGGCAGAACAAGGAAAGGATACAAAAGCGCCAATGATGAACACGGGGCTGAAAACATGCTTCTGGAAGGTGAACAGTGCCAGGCCCATGTAGGAGAAGATGAAGTTCTCGGCCAGGAAGTGCAACACCTCAAACAGCTGCATGGAGAAGAGAAAAATCAACCAGAAACCCTGAGCTCCTGTTCCTTGCACAGTACAGCCAGGTGGTGCAGCAGTGCCAAAGCCTTCTCTTACCTGTTTGGTGCGACTTCTTGATTCCACTGACAGATTGTTGTAGGTATAGTGAGCTTGTGTGATTCCACAGAAGAGGACAGCTACAACACCTGTCAAGAAATTTTTAAAACTCAATGGAAAAAGAGACAGGAATAAAACCCTGGTGAAATGAAAAGTTAAGGTAGGCAAGTCCAGCATAGCCAATTTGCTAAGCTTTGAGTTTTCTATTACTGAGCACTCTGGCTGCCCCTCACCACTACTCTCCACCTTCCCTTCTCCAACCCTGCCTTTCTAGATTCAAGGCCAAGTTCCCCAACTCTCCTTCTTCCATGGCCATGCAGAGCCAAGGATGTGGCTCAGTGGCACAGTGCCTGCCTGCCAAGCATGACATAAGTTCAATTCTTGGTCCCAGGAGGAAAAAAAAAAGAGCATTCATTCTCTTCTTGGAAAATCTCTCCTGAAATTTGCCATCTGTAGTTAGCATACAGCATTCATCCCTGCAAGAAGACTGTGAAAGCCCATTGCACATTTCTGTCATATTCCTCTATTTTCACAATAATTGGATTTAATTTCAAATCAAAGTTTTGTATTTTTGCATAAAATCAGGCTACAGGGAAAATAGAATGGGAGTACTATCCCATTTATCCCAGGCCTAATAACCAAGGTTTCTGGCTAATGACACCCATTTTGTCATGCAAGGCAAATGAGACACCTGGTAGTACATATTCAGAGAGAGCTGTCAAGTTTGAAGGAAGTGGGGTACTTTTTCATGCTACATATAAGGATATGTTGCTGTGTTTTGACACAACTATTTTCTAAGTCCCTGAGTTTTTTGTAGCAATTATACTTTTCTAATGGATATACCTATGGTTTTGTATGTTTAATTTTTAAAAATTAATGTGTTAATTTGTATGTAGGTATGCATGTATTGCAATACTGAAGAGGGTCTTTGCACAGAGTAATATCCCCAGTCCTTTTTTATTTTGACATAGGGTCTTGCTAGATTGCTGTTTCCAGGCTGGGACTGAAGTTGTAGTTTTCCTGCCTCAGCCTCCCAGAGGTCAGGGATTACAGGAATGGGCCACCATACTCAGCTTCAGTCATTTTGTTAAATGAGAGAATAGGAGGAAATGAAAACACATGATTAATTACACTAATATTATAGGTTGAGCATCTCTAATTTGAAAATCTGAACTACTCTAAAATCTGTAACTTTTTCAACACTGATATTGTGGTGGTTAATCTTGAGTGTCAACTGGATGGGTTTGAGAAACGCCCAGGAGAGTAGCAATGCACACTTCTGGGTGTGTCTAGGTCAGTCGTGGGGGTGTAAACTTGGACATTATATCTGGCCTATGGCCCTTTCCTTTTGCCCTGTATATTCTGCTTCTCAGATGCCAGGAGTTGGAGCAGCTCTGCTGGGCCATACCCTTCCACCATGATGCTTCTGCCTTGGACTCAGTCAAGCATAGACTGAAACTATGAGCCAAAAGAAACCTTTCCTCCTTTAAATAGCACCTGTCAGCATTTTGTCTCAGCAACTACAATGCAGGCCAATACACAAAGAATGCAGCAAAAGGAAAATTTCACACCTAACTTCAGGTGATTCAACGTAGTCAAAGCACAAGAGCACAGCATAGTTGATGCAGTGTTCATAGACGGAAAAAATCTCCCCCACCCCCTTTAGCTGTAATACACAATGGCTTCATGTATAAAGTTATTAAAATAATATATAAAATTATCTCCAGGTTCTGTTATAATGTATATTGTAAAACAAATGAATTTTATATTTAAACTTGGGTCTATCCCCAAGATACCTCAAGGTATATATGTAAATATTACAAAATTTTTAATATCTGAAATATAAAACACTTCTGCTGAATCTATATATAAAACCAACACCATAAAAAATGCATGGTATTGAAAAACAATGCTTAAATAGTCCAGAGACAAAACAATGAAAACTGTATTCACCCTTATTTGAGTGTGTGCAAGATTACTTTGAAAATGATATGTATTTGGTAGTCATAGTTATTATTTATAAAATCACATAACAATCTAGGGGAAGATACAAATAAGATTTGAATATATTCAGAGCCTTTGCAGAAAACATCTACTTTATAGTTAGAATGAGTATGCAAAAACATAGATTTGGAATAATATACTTTATCCTTAAAAAGTATTTAGTTTTTGGAAATTCAATGTTTAAGGCAAAACACTAGCCTTGCTCAGCAGTCCTCCATAGGGACACTCAGTGAACAGGGAATTAACTTTATGAAGCTGCTCTCAAAGAATTCCTCCAACCCCTCAAGTGCCTAAATCTCCCACTACTGAGAGGAAATGGGCAATCCAAGAGTACAGAAAACCCACCTGTAAATCCACAAGCTTCTGCCAAGAGAAATGTGCTCCAGGACATCAGGAAGAAGAGTGCAGTCTCTAGCAGGGGAAAGCAGTGCAGCTTGGTAAACTTGGTCACGTTGAAATTCTGTCAAGGACTTCAGTTGGTTGTTTCAATCTAAAGACTGTGACATCCTTACTTATGGGAGGAAGGCTTCTGTGTAGATGCAACCTAAGGCTAAAGGACTTCCCAGCCAACGGTTCCTGATGCCAGCCTACTTAGGGCTTCTCAGCTCTTCTCATCTCCCTAAAACTGATGTCCCAACTGGTTGGTGAAAAGGGAAGAAAAGCAAAGGAGAGGAGAAAGTGGAGTATAGTGTAGCATTCCCAGTGTTCTCAGACTCTTAGCAAGAGGTGCAACCAACATGTATCTCCAAAGGAACACATTTCAGGAATCACCCTGTTCCAGTGGAACAACCAATTTAATATTCTGATCTGATAGGAAGATCTGAGAATATTCTCTTGGAAAGTACAATGCCACATATGCATACCTAGGCAGGGGAAGAAACCACAAAAAGGATATCAGAGCAGTCACAACACCAGTCACAGCTCCCATTGTAAAAGAGCCACTAAATATACCTAGAAAAATGCCAACTGACTTAAAAAAGGCAGCAGCATCAAAGGCATGAGTGTTCAACCCTGCTGGCTGGTAGGCAACAATAGATCTGGAACAAAAAAAGAAAGAGAATTAAGACTGCCCTCGTTTTATGCCCAGGTTTAATAGTCTCCTCTCATGCACAATTTCACTTTCCATGGTATCAGTTGAAGTCAACCACTGTTTGAAAATATCAAATGAAAAATTCCAGAAATAAATAATTTTAAGCTTTACACTGTGTGTCATTATAAGCAGCATGATGAAATATCACATCATCAAACTATTCTGGTTAGGATAAAGAGCATTCCCTTGTGCAGTGTATTCAGACTGTAAACTACTCGGCCATCAGTCACCACTTATGTTCAAGCAACCCAGAGAGCAAGACGAGCAATTCTGGCAATCCAGATATGCCAGGGAAAGGCCAAAAAGTGCTTCCTTTAAGTGAAAAGGTGAAAAGTACAATTCTTGGCCTATTTGGAATTAGAGACTTCACATTCACATAACTTTTATTACTGTATATTTTATTAGTAGTTATTGTTAATCTTATCTTTTGCCTAATTAATAAATTGGGCTTTACAATACATATACAGATATAGGAAAAACATATAGTATACACAAGGTTCAGTGTTATATGTGGCTTCAGGCATCCACTAAGTTTTGAAACATATACCTGGAGAAGGGGGGACTCCTATAACAGAAAATATCAACAAACCTAAGTATCTATACCATGTCAACCAGTGCCCAAGACAAATTGAATTTAACCTGCAGTCACTGTGTTATGCTGTGATAAGCATTCTGATTGCTGCTGAGTGGACAAAGCAGTGCAACTTTATAAACAAAGTTGAAAATCTTATTTAACAAAATACGCAATTCAATATTTAATACTTTTAAGGTAGCACTCTGTGTTTAGCCCAAACACACAAGAAATCAAACTATATCTTCCCCAAAAGACACGTCACTACTTACGAGGACAGGACAATGGCAACAGCATCATTGAGGACACTCTCTCCAAACAGAAGAGCATAAAGGTCCACATCTGCATGCAGTTCGTTAAATATTGCCAGCACAGTCACTGAAATGTCAGGCCAAAGCACAAAAGTTAGTCTTGGTTTCTGCCCTTAAGCCACTGATTATGGATTCATAGAGGCAATTCTGACCTTGGGTAGAAATGGGTAGTTCAGTGAGGGAGTTAATTATGGACTGTCTCTGGCAGAAAGAGAAACAGCAATCTTCCCAATCTGAGTGCGATTTGATGTGATATTTGAGGCTAATGATCTTGGACCCAAACACTATATCTTCCCACTGTAATCCCACTACACTCCGAAAATACTTGGTGTAGAAACTTTTGTAAAATCACCATTGCCATGGCTTGGCTTTTCTGGTGGGCTGCCTACCACTGCACTCCCAGAACCCAGCAAAAGACTGGAGCACAAAGAAGACTGTCATAAAAGTTTGTGAATACCAGCTTGTGTGCCATCCACGCCAAACATGTAACAGTTATGCCAAAAGACATCCAACTAGCACACCGCATACGTGGAGAACACGCTGAAGAGCCCACTATGGTGGGAAACATTTCATTCTCAATTTTTTTTCCCCTCTTCTTCCTGTTATTCGTAGTTTTGAATGTTAGGTTTTTCATTTTTTTTTTGTTTTTTCCTTTGGGATTACAAGGTACCTAAGTACGTGATTGAGAGTGGGAAATAGGGGACAGAAATCAGGTATTGGAATTTTTTCCATTTTCATTTGTGTGTGAATTTTTATCTGCATGTGGGATGTAAAGCATCAATGCAAGTCAAAAATGTTTCAGTGAACAAGTTTCAGCACTTCAACTTTATAACAATTATAAATAAAAATGTGTTAAATTTTTCTGGAAAAAAAAAGTTTGTGAAATAATGAAAGTCTTTACTTTGCACAGTTCTCATATTTCTTTAACATTTAGAAATCAGTGGCCCAGAGAGATAGCTCAGCAGAGTAAGTACCTGCTTAGGCAAACACAGGGACAGGGGTTCAATCCCCAGCACCACATGGCATTCCAGCCCTATCCCCCACCTTTAGGCACGCTGAGCCCATGACCAAGACTAGGAGTGGTAGTGTGTGCCAGTAATCCCTGCACTGGGGAGGCTGAAAACAGGAGGATCACTACGAGTCTGAGCTGCATTGTGAGACCCTGTACCAAACACATAAAAGAAAAAAGGAAAAAGAAATCAGCTATTCTCCAGATCATGGTTCTCAAACTTTTGGCCTCAGAACTCCTTTACAACCTTAAAAATTACTATGCTTCCCCAAAAGAGCCTGTCTTGAGGGTCACAGCTACTGATATTTACTAAATTGACTAAAAGAGGAAGAAATATTTATTTAAAATTAATAACATTATATATTAACATGAAATGTTTTTAAAGATTATATTTTCCAAAACAAAAGTGAAAATAATTCACATTTTCACAAATCTCTTTAAACATCTGGATTAACAGAAGACAGACGATTCTCATATCTATTTCTGCATCTGAGCAAAAGATAGTCATCACACATTATGCAGCCTCTTGAAAACACTACTGTATGACATGAGAGATAAAAGTAAGAAAGGTGAATAATATATTATTATTACTAAATCACTTTTTAACCAATGGATCCCTTGAAAGGGTTTTAGGTAGCCTTATAGATAATATCTACTCTTTCTGGTGGAAGATGGCAGAGGGGCTAGATCTGTGTAGCCAGCACTTGCCTTCAAGGGGCAACTGACATACCCCCAAAACCCAAAGATGGTGTGGTAGAACGATCCAGTGCCCAGATCCTCGGTTGGACCAGGAGCCATAGCATTAGCCTATAACCCAAGATAAAGACCTGTTTGTACAACCGGATAGCAGACAGGCTTTTCTGTTATCTGTAACCAAAAGCATTATTAAATGATATAATTAGAAAACTAAACCAACCAAATGCCTCGTTTAGTGAGATATGATAAGCCAGTAAGTGTTATGGCTGCCATGTAGTTCAAGAAGCAGAATTTATCAGCCATCATAAAAATCTTCCCACTCTTTTCTTTGCTCAAGAAAGAACAACCACATAAAACAATTTTGGGACAAAGTCTCACTATGCAGTTCAGGCTGGCCTTGAACACATTATGCAGCACTGGCTCACCTCAAACTCATAGCAATCCTTCTGCCTCTGCCTCCCAAGTGCTGTGATCACAGGTATGTGACACCATGCCTGGCTAAATGATTTTATAGTAACCATTTCCTTGTATTCCTTATAGTTTAATTACCCAAGTGCACATTTCAACACTACTGATTAATTTTTCTCATTTGAAAGAAAATGCAGGGCTGGTGAGATAGCTCCGCAGACTATAGGGCCTGCTTAGGCAAGCACAGGGACTGTGGTTTGATCCCTGTGGTTTGATCCCTCGTTTAGTGAGATATGATAAGCCAGTAAGTGTTATGGCTCCACAGACTATAGGGCCTGCTTAGGCAAGCTTAGGCAAGCACAGGGACTGTGGTTTGATCACTGTGGTTTGATCCCTCGTTTAGTGAGATATGATATGCCATGCCAACCCTGCTCCCAGGGTGAGCTGAGCTGGTCAGAGTCCAGGCATAATGACACACACCTATACTCCCAGCACTGGGGAGGCTGAAAGCAGAAGGATCACGAGTCTGAGCTGCGTAGTGAGACCCTGCAACCACCAAATATGTTTTTTAAATGCACTCTTTTCTCGCTCTGTTAGGTTCCCCTTCTATTCCCTTCTATCAGCTCTCATTTCATAATGCTCTATTGTTTAGTTCTCTCATTTCTAAATTTTCTCAATTTTATAGCCATGATACATGGAGTATTTCATAACTTCTATCAGTTTCTTCATTTAACTTCATTTGGAATATGAATAAAGTTTCAGGCTTTGGAGGGTCCCATTTTTCTGATATGACTTCATTATCTGTTACTTTATTGTTCATAGGCTTATCCTAGTTTTTTCTTTATGTTTCCATGAAGTTCAGCCTCAATCTACTTCTGCTGTTTATATTAAAATCAGGTAGATGAGGGGAAGCACGGACCCAGAAGGGCTTTCCTAGTTTCATGGCTCTACTGCTCCCTCTTCTGGTTTTATATGGAAAAATTACAAATACAGTAACTACCTCTCTAGTACTTTCTGAGTTCCACAGCTTCTAGCCCGCTCCTCCATTAATATCTAAATTGTTTTGGTGTTTTCATACCTTACCAATCAGGGTTCCCTGTCCTTCCAGAGAGATCCTTCCTAGGTACTTCTAAGAGCCCCAAGATTCCAGATCACTGCTGTGGGCTTTCATATGAAGTCTCCTTGGACTCATTCACAAATTTGAGGCTTGAAGCTCCTGCTAGTTTTAACTGCTATCATACAGGCCCACAAAGCTCTTTACTCTAAGGGATGCCTCTTTAGGGTGTAAATATTGGTAGAAATTTCCAGAGTTCTCTAGAAGTCAATAATCAACTTTTCCCCTTGCAGCCACTGTTCCTGTACCCACTTCTCATTGCTTCCGGTTTTATCTTCTAGTTTTATCTCTGTGTTGCTTTCTTTTGCTGTTCTGCTTTCACTATTTTCACTATAAATTAAGGGAAATTTATAATAATGCTGCCACAGCATGTCTTCCTTTTTCAAAAGCTTCATTCATCCATTGAAAGTAAGGAAAAAATAATTTGGACTTCAAAATGTTGGATGGATGCATGATCATCAGTTATAGTTCTTAAAGGATATGTTTTTAAAACACAGATGTTATCACAAGATTCAGAGTCAACCTCTTTCCTGTACCTTGAAATATAATCTAGCAGGTTACACGACAGGAAAAGTCTTCAGGGGTGAGGCTTTTAAAAAAGTTTTGCCTCAACTATTTACTACATTGAAAATATTTGTGGCTCCTCATGTAAACTCTATTAGTTTATCATTCTATGACATAAGAAGTGCCTTCTTGTGCTCAGTTTGGCAGCACAGACGCTAAAGTTGTGTCTTCTTTCCATTTTGTTTTGGGGTTTGCTTGCAGTACTAGGGATTGAACCCAGGGCTTCATACATGGTCGGCAAGTGCTTTATGCTAAGTTACCTCTCTCTAACCCTTTATATATTTTACCTTAAGACAAGATCTCACTAAGCTGTCCATGCTGGCCTCAAATTTGCAATCCTCCTAATTTCAGCCTCCTAGTAACTAATTTCAGGCATTTCTGGTAAGCAGAAACTTTCTAGCAAAGCAAAACTGTTTTGTTTTTAACCCAATTGCTGAATAAAAACAAACAATGACAATAACAGCAGCTGCTATAGGGGATTTACCATGAAGCAGGCACTATGACAAATATGATCTCATTTAGTCATCATAGAACTCTGTAAGGAGCTAGTACTATCATTTCCCCCAATTTAGGAATGGTAAAACAGGCTGTTGTATGCTACAACACTGAAATTGCTGAAATCTCAGTGGTTGAACACAAGAAATATGTTGGTTATTCCATATCACATATCCAGCATGAGCCAGCACAGGCTCATGCTGTCCACATTAGTCACTCAGAGACTCAAGACTGAGGGGACCTAGTCTCAAGGAGCACAATCCAGCTTGCCTACCCAGAAGATGTGATCCTAGGGGTTCTAGGATGCTATGTCTCTCTCTACCAGTCAGGGTAGGTCTGGGCAGGAAAGAGATGGTACTTTCCAACACAAAAATTTAAGAAGAGTTTTATAAAGAAGTTATTTATAAAAGTGTGGGCAGGGTATAGGGAAACCTCCCAGGGAGAAGATAATACTTGAAGCTGGAGACAGGGACCTTCTGTATCATCTCTAAACCTGAGGACTCTAGGGAAAGGAGTAGTCACCAGAACCTGGACTTGCAGGGAGAGGGTCACCTGACAGAAGCTGTGACCTTTGATCAAGAGACCAGCCTAGCATGCATGGTACCTGCATCTCTATCTTCCTCCCAGTGCAACTCTGCCATGGATACCTCCATGGGGAAATCAGAAGAAAAAAGGACCTTTGGCATATTCCATACAAATCAGCCTCCTGAGGCCAAGAGGAGTGTGGTGAGTGAATCAGAGGGGCAAACAAAAGCCATCCAACAGTGCCATCAACTGCCTA